TTGTCTGCAGAAAATGAAGCTGCATCTTCTTGGGGCTTGTAGCAAAGCTCTGCCAGGATATGATAAAAGGAGTCATCACAGAAGGGGTTTATCTCTATGGAGGGCTGGGAGGGGGCTGGAGCCCACTTTGCTCTTGTACCTAAAATGGACACAGCATGTGGGGGGTTGTGGCAGGATGGGTGGTTAGAAAGTCCTGGATCTTAGTGTGAGGTTTCCACTTGTGTTAAATCTGGGAGACAGGACCTGCTGCAGCGATTAGAGGAGCTGTTAGAGCGGTGGAGGGGTCAGGCCTTGGGCTCTGACCTGGCCAACAAGGCCTTTGACACAGAGTTTTGGAGATGGTATTTCCAAGTGGTTTAATTTCACACCTGTCTTGCAGAGTGAGCCTCCTGTATGGACACGGGGAACGAGACAGCCCTGCTGAGAACCCATTTGCTGAGCACTTTGCCTGCACTCAGGATCCTGTATTTACAAGGACTTCTTTAAGCTGTTGAGCAGCCCCTGCTGCTGCCCAGAGCACAGGAGCCCACTTTGCAGGACAGCACAGACCTGGAGTTACGGGCAGTGACACTGAACTCTGTTTACAGCTGGTAATAAAACGCCTCCGTGCCCGCCGACCTCAGTTAAAAATGTCTCACTATTAATCTGAATTTGCCTGGTTTTAACAGCCTGATCTTTCTATTTGTTACAGCAGGATGCTGAACCCTTTTCAATTCGTCAACACCCTCGGAAAGGCGCTGTAAAATTTTAAAGCTCTGCCTAAATCACAGCCCGGCTTTGTGGACTGTGAGCCAAGTGATCCTCCCCACTCTGCGCTGTGCTGAGCTCAAAGCCTAATAAATAACGTTAATCATGCCATCCATTTCCTCCACAGGGAGCGACTGGTAAATGGTTATTAATTCAGTGATAAATTCTGATGCTTCTTTCCCAGTCCTGGCAGTAATGTCTGGTTATGTCTCACGATTTTCAGGAAAAGCAGTGCCCGCATCTGCTCTTGCGCCGTGCGTTTGTTCATTCACATTTTCTCCGCCGCTGCAGGTTCCCCAACCCTGGTGTTTCCCTGCTGACATCCCTTCCCAGAAGTGTGAAATCAATCTAACACGGGCCGTGTGGCCGCGGCACTGCTCAGCAGCCCGAGCCGCCCCTCCCCTGCTCTGCTCCTCGCCCGAGGAAAACGGGGAGAAAGATATTTATGGGGTAATTGAGGCGTGAATTTCACCCTCCGAAATGTGACTGTGGGTGCAGAACACCCCCCGAATTCCCCAATGTCTTTAGGAGGTGGAAAGCCAGCTCCGGCGTGGGGTGGGCAGCTCAGCCCCTCCACCGTCCCCAGTTATTCCGTGCCTGGCGGAACGCGGCGCTGGGATGGGATTCAACGCCTGTGCGAGCACATGCTGATGTCTGTCAAAGACAGCGGCTGCTTTCCTGTGCCCTGCCTGCGAATCTGCTTTGTGCAGACAGCTGGATATTTATGAGCTTTATATTTACCCCACAGTTGTGCAATTTTGCTGTTTATCCACCGATCTCTGTTGTTTTTTTCCTTCCGTGGGAGTTCTCCGTGCGCGAGGGGAGGCGCACAGCGAGGGATGCTTTTCTTAGGCACACGTAAGTACCTTCGTGAGAGACATTAAGCATATGGATGACACACTCCCAAGTTTGGTTAGAGGCAGATCCACGCAGCTGAGGCTGAGCTCCCCTCTTCACAACACGTAATTTGGACCAGAGAGATAAAGAATTGCAGTGATACGGGGAATATACAGTCAGCCCAGGCAGGAAGATTTTTCACAGGAAATTTTCAAATACGTGTTAACATATATTTCATTTCAAGCAGCGAGTCTAACGCGAAGGCAATCCTGTTATATTTCTGTTCTGGAAAGCATCCAGTCCCCTCTAAGCCTTCTGAAAGAGCAGCGTGGCTCAGTCACAGAGGGAGGGTATTAGTGCAAACGGCGCGGATGTTGCTGACTTGGCAATCAGCAAAAACATAATGAGCTCCTTTAACCATGGGAATGGAACAGCCTTCCCGGAAAGCCGTCGTGCCCGCTGCCCTCCCCATCGATTGGGCTGGAGGTGCCCGTGGTGGAGACATGTGTGGGAGCAGGTGCCTCCAGTGAGAGGTGAGGAGGCTCCGTAAGTCCTTGAGAAATTGATTCAAACTCGGTTTATGACTTTTCTTTCTGGAAGTTGGCAAACCACGCTGCAAGTCCCTGTTCCCCCCTGCCCTGAGGAACGGCTGTTGCTGGAATAGCTCAGAGATAACTCAATGCCCTCCCTGAACAGGCAGTTCCTCCATGGTTATGTGGATAGGGAAATCCTACAGATCCAGCTGTGTTTGGTGGGCACATAAATCCTCTCTCTTGCCCGCTGCTGTCAGCAGGCCTGAGTGCTGCAGGGCCTTGGCTGGGGTTCAACAAAATTCCCTCCATCCCCATTTCCCTTTGTGATTTCCACCGTGCCTGATCCTCCTCCCCTTCTCCCCGCCGCCGTCAGGAGACTCAAATATGGTCACAAACAGACGTGCAAGGCAACCCAGCACACGCTCCCAGCAGGAGGGATGACAATGGGGTGTGCTTGCAGAGCAGCACCGAAACAGCCCCGTGCAACCCCATCCCCAACTAAGGGCCGAGCCCCATCCTGAACTGAGTGCCAAGGGACACAGAGCCTGTTTTCCTTCTGCCATGTCCTAAGCAAAGCCTGGCCTGAGCGCCTGGTGCTTTCTCCCGAGCAGGGGCGGGCGGTCACGTACCTCCTGGCAGGCTGATGGGCCCGCAGACCTTCTCCTTGGGGCCTTGCTCCTGCACGTAAATCCTCTTGGTGCAGAGCCTCCATAGCCCGAAATGAGCGGCCTCGCAGGTGGCGTTGAACTCCTCCACCTTGGGGCTGAGCACGGCCCAGTGGTCCGTCACCACGGCCGCGAAGAGCAGCGAGATGCCCACCAGGATGATGGAGAACGTCAGCCGCACCTTCAGGGGTTTGCTGTCGTCCATCCCGCTCCGGAGCGGCGCTCCCGGCCGAGCGCGGCGGGCGCTTCGCGAGGGCTCCCGAAATCCTGGCGCATCTGAGCGTGTTTGGAAATGTCAGCTCCGGGGAGAGTGGCCGCAGGCAGCTGCTGGGCTGTGTCAGCGGGTGCCCGGGAGGCTGCTCACGAACAGCTCAGCTTTCGGCTGCCCCGTCCCACCCGCCTTGTTTTGGATTCCCATGGCCGGGCGCGCTCGGCGCAGCCACCGCGGCCGCCGCTCAGGGGCTGCGATGTCTTGGCTTGCAGCATGCCCAGAAATAGGCATTAATAGGACCATTAACTTCTCAGCGAGGTTATAAAAACATCTGTGTTTATAATAGTGCCGGGCCTGAGCTCAGGCTGATCCCAAACAGTTTAATGGCCCCAGAGCCCTCGCGCCGCACGCCTGCGGCTCACGGTGGGCTCTGCACGGAGCTCGGAGCTGGATGTCCCTCCAGAGCCCAGGACTGTGGCAGAAAATGGCAAAATAAGGCAACTTGTTTATTGATTTTTATGATAATTTTTTGTTTTGTTCTGTTTTGTTATATTACTTTTTATTAACCTGAACTATTCTGAGTAGTTGGGGGCCTTTTTTTTTCTGGTCGTTGTTTGGGTTTTTTTGTTTGGGGGGTTTTTGTGGGTTGTTTTTTTTTTTTTTTTTTTTTTTTTTTTTTTTTTTTTTTTTTTTTTTT